CGGATAATGATCTGCCGAAATTTTCAAGTAATTGTCCATGGATGCAAATGTATGGATGCCTATCTAAACAACGAGCTATATAATCTTTGTCATTCAAATCATAGAAGCACCTAATCATAACGAACAAATGATTGTACTTTAGATGATTGAAGAATCAATTACCAACATCATAATTCATATGCATCCGATCTTTAGAAAACACAACCCTCATGTTTCCATGTCTTGAAGATCAGATGCCAGACCAATATCTGCCCCGCCTAGAACGCACCCTAAAAAGTTAGCCTACTTTTGCCATTTCCTTTTATTGACTTTGGATTCAAGGAAGCAAGAAAGTATAGCTAAATCAATTAATTAAGACCCTTGATCCTTATGACACTCATCTATACAATCAAAGTAGTAACTAATTTTCTTCTTCTTCAAGAAAGTGACCTCCATGTGGTAAGAAACTAAAGAAAGTTAAAATTACAGTCTATATTAGGAAGACTCAGTCTTTTTTATTTTTTATTTTTTTAATTTTTTTTCACTTTGGCCATCTAGACCTTTAAGAGTCTGAGGGTAGGGATAAAGAAAGGATACCTTTACTGTAAGTCATGTTCAGAGAACGAGTTTTTTCTACATAGATGGAAAAAAATGGCATTTGGGTATAGAAATAAATCTGTATAGTGATGTGACCTTCTTTGGGGACTTTTCTCATTCACCTTATGGGTGTCTCGTTGTCATGGCATGCACCATCACCACACCCATCTCCTGTCCCACCAACGATGATTGCAAGGCTATTCCGTTCTGTAATCTCCCCCAGAGAGCTTCGAGTCACTGTCAACTAATCACGAGCTTCGGCAAGTAGTTGTGCAACGGTGGTTGCGGGAATATGCTGTCTCTGTTGTGCCGGCAGCAGTTAAAAGGAAAAGGGAGAAAAGGTCGGCATCCGATGGACGAAGAACAAAAAAAAAAAAAACAACCGGTCAGGACTCAGGTGCCATTCTTTCGCTGCAGGTTATAGTTAGCTTTTGCTGCCT